GAGTCAGATGCCAAAGCGCGTGAAACCATTTGTATTTATCGAAAACTGTAGTAAACATGCAGTTAACGGCTCAAATACTGTTTGAGAGTAAAAGTGGCATGTAAGATTTCCTCATCATAACTGTTGCAGAGTTATTTTCATCAACTGTAAAACTGCATTAATTTTGGCCGCGTCTCTTTAAGACCCGTGGAACATCACCAAATCTGCCTCAAACTTGCCAAGACTTTGACGAATATAAAATCTGAACATTTGTCAGTGGCATCTCACGAAATTGCCTTTGACAGTCTATTATTATCTATGAAATTCAAGACAGGTGTAGATATGTGTCATACTTACAAGGGCTGTTTCTAAACTGTGCCGGACAACAGTGATACGATTTTGCAATTGTTGAGAACTCAGCGTCATTAATATAGATAGAAACACATTGCATGCTATGTTTCATGTTATCAATCACTTTATTAAATGTGTAATTAGTCATCATGCAGTTGAGATTCATTGTAATATTTACTCCACTTATCAAATTGGTTTATCAACAAACACTACATGAAACTGTAAATATTAGTACTAGTTAAGTGTAAACTTTAAAATATGTCCATTACCAAAGACATATTTTGTATGAGTTATAGACAAATTATGCGAGTCAAAGAATGGTTCTAGAACAGTCCTTTCTTTAACAAAGAATACTCTATGATATTCCGCTTAAATGATACATTTATTCCATTTCATACCAACGAAATGTAATGATGATGAATAACTTTCTTCCCATAAAGTTAAAGCTTTATATTCCGTTATTAAGCCTATTAGGCTATGAGAGGTAATTTGTCTGAAATAATTCCCTGCTCCATGCTTGGAATAGATTAAGACACTCTTCCAAGGTATGTGATATACTGATCACTTAACCATAATGTAATTATAACTTGCAAAATGTGGATTAAGTTATAAAAAAAAAACAAGGATACATAAAGAAAACCACATATTTTTTTAAAAATCCATGAAATCTAACATAATTTATACAATATGAAGGCATAATGCTAAAACACTTTACTGATATGCATTATTTCAAGTAAACAATTGGCTCATTTTTTCTTCTTCTTTTCAATGACAGATGAATTAGAAAAATTGAGAATGATGAGTAGAAATGTTTCATTACATGACATATACATAGTTGTGGAATACCGCTTTATTAGAATGTGTAATTACTCTTTCCGCAAACACTGTAATTATGTATGTATTCGCCTTAAGTACCTAAGTTCTGTAGTGCACACCTGGCTGTGATTAATTAATGTTAAGTGCAAACAACTGAGATAATGTTATGTTTTGTAGTACTTACAGTGTTGTACAATTTATGATTTAAAAGGCAATTAGCGTTTGTATATGTATTGGTATAACCAATTTGTAAAATAGAACTACAGCTTCTGTGTTTTAGATGACAAATATCTAAATCATACAATATATAGTTACTCAGTCCAAACTATTTGCCAATATCACTTTGTAATAACTAAGTTTGTGAATTTATATGAAAAAACTACATATATAACAGCATACTATATTTCACGGATCTGTAATCAAATACATAATACTTATTTTATTGCTTGTTAGTAGTCTGTGTATGAACTTTGTAATATCACCATCCTTCGATGATAACAGATGCATGTATATGTTATCATTTTTGAGCGAGATTACAGGGAAAAGGCATCCATGCATACATGCATGTATACATGCATACATACATACATACACAGTGGCGTGGTGGCCGGGGGGGCACGTACCCCCCCAGCGAAGAAAAATCAGGGGGCGCCGAAGATGTCTCAACTCTCCAAGAGGGCGCCAAAAGCTTACTGAAAGCAAATATGTACAAAAAATCTACAGCGCTCCGAAAAGTCCAACCTGTTATGAGCCTTACCATTGCCTAATCAAATACATTTGTACCAAGGGCGCAGTTCTCTAAGGGGCGCCCAAAAAGACTAGTGCCCCCCCCCCCCAGCCAAATAGGAGCCACCACACCACTGTACATACATACATACATACATACATATATACATATATATACATACACACATTGTGTGTGTATGTGTGTGTGTGTGTGTACATATGTGTGTGTCCGTGTGTGTGTATGTGTGTGTGTGTGTGTGTGTGTGTGTGTGTGTGTGTGTGTGTGTGTGTGTGTGTGTGTGTGTGTGTGTGTGTGTGTGTGTGTGTGTGTGTGCGTGCGCGTGTGCGTGCGCGTGTGTGTGCGTGTGCGTGCGTGCGTGTGTGTGTGTGTGTGTGTTATACACATACATACATACATATACCACACATGCAATTGTATGTGCGTGTGTCGGGGTAAATTGGATCCCGGGAGCAAGGCCTATTTAAGTACTTATATAAACCTTGCCCGGGATGAGCCTGATGAAGAGCATGGCCGAGAAGAGGCCGATGGGCAGGATGACCTCGAGGAGCGACAAGCTCTTCCACAGAAACAGCAGCAGGTGACGCCGCGCACTTATCCGGCGACGTTCTCCGCTCCCTGCGGTGGGCCAGCAGGGGAGCACGCTAACCAATGATCGTTTTCTTTCGCTATTTTCTAGGGGGTGGAGGGATTTCAAGGAGAAATGTTTCACAGGGTTGTTTTTTCCACTAGTAGGAGATTCTTTTCCTTGTCTTTCCTTTTTTGCGATAAGTATAAATACGCTGGGGAGAAATGCAAATTCAAGCTGTGGTAAAAATTAGTACTTCACTGCAGAGTTTTCGAATTTCCCTGTGTTACTGAACAATTTCTTTTTCTTTTCTGTTCACCTTGGTTTCACGAGAAAATAACTTTCAACATTACGAACAAAAACACTTTTGGAGAGAGAGAGACAGAGAGAGACACAAGTAGAGAGGTAAATAAAGGAACAGATAGACCGAGACGACTAGAAACACATAGAGAGGTAAATAGACAAATAGATAGATAGATAGCGAGAGAGAGAGAGAGAGAGAGTGAGTGAGTGAGTGAGTGAGTGAGTGAGTGAGTGAGAGACAGAGACAGACAGACAGACAGTCAGACAGAGACAGAATTTCCTTCACTCAACTCCATACTGAACATAAGGAAGACGAGAAGTATCTAGCACACTCACCAGGGGCACCAGGAGGCTCAGGTCTGTCACTGATTCCCGAGTATTGCTGAGGTCTGTTCCCCAATAAACATTCCTCCAAAATCCATCATAATAATAATAACAATTATAATTAACATTATCATCATCATTTTTAATGTTGCCATTACCATTGTTATTATTATTACTGTCATCATTACTATTATTTTTATCGTTATCATTATTTTTATCATCATTATTTAGTACTAATTCTATTGTTGTTGTTGGTATAATTACCACAATCATCATCGTTATTGTTATTACTGTTGTTGCTATTATCATCAGCATCATCATCATCACTCTCAGTATTGTTATTATGATCATTATCTTCATAATCGTTCTTTCTGTTGCAGTTAATAATATATTTTTTTCCATTCTCTATTTCTCTCTTGTACAGAGTCCCAATATCTTTTGCACATAAAATACGTGAAATATTTTGGCACAGTTTGGCGGAATTTAATAAAAAACATGCATTCATCAGAGTACCAATTTTTTTTATTCAGATCAGTACTTTAATTAACGAGGATATTTTGTAGAAAGTTCAAATTCTACCCATCACTCATATTGCACTTTTTTGTACTTGGTTAAGAGAACTTAGACAAATAATTCTAACAGGCTATAATATACTCTTTATGACATAGAATGGTTCCCATCACATCAAATAATATCAAAGTAAACAATTCAAAATAGTTATTAAACTTATATTCCCGACACGGTAATTAATGTATAATGTATCTCTAATAAGTCGATATTACTTGATGGGGAAACTCAGTATTTGTAAAGATTATAGAGAAGAAACTACTTGGGCTTCACAAAAAGGTAAATTAACTGAAAAAATACACTCTAAATGAAAATATTTATACTTCACAGGTTAATCACCTGTACTTCAATTATTAATCACAATAACTGACTCAGAGAACTACATCTTTCAATTTATAACATATATTTTTTTATTTGAAAATGTGTACACACACACACACACACACACACACACACACACACACACACACACACACACACACACACACACACACACACACACACACACACACACACAGTGTATAAACAGCTGTAATCTAATAACAGATGCTAATTTTATACAATTCTTAAAATTACTTTTGTATTATGTGTTACTTTTTTGGGGAGAAAATTGCATTAACATATGCAATAATTTTCCAATTACTTTACAAAGTTTCATGCAACAACAATTACTACATACACAATTATGGATCACTTAAAACATCACCATTGTATTCTGAGGAAATGTCAGCATCAAAACCAGCATCACTTGGACTCTGAGCTGCACTAATTCTTTCAAATACAGGAGGCATGGTCTTTCCTGATATGCCTTTAGAATCTGAGAGCAGTGCCATAGTTTTTTCTTTGGGAATCAAAATAAACAAAGGGTCGTTATCACTTTCAGCCATATTTGTTTCATTTAGCTCTTCTCCAAACCCTGAAAAGTCTACAAACTCAGTAGCTGTAATACCTTCTGATTTCCCATCAAACTTTGTTTTCTTTGGTATATCAGAAGAGCTCTCTCTTCGTCCACAACATTTACTCTTTATCACTGATTTACTGTATTTCTTCTTTCTCTTTATACCTTCTGACGGACAGTTTGCACTTACAGGATTCAAAGGTCTAGGATGATACAATAAATTCTTACTAAAATTTACATTTTCCATTTCTGGCCTAGAGACCTTATCTTTCCTTACTTCTGTTACAATCTGACATTTATCTAAATTTTCAGTTTCAGTGTTGGGGTTAAGTAAAATCTCATGTCCTGCATCAACTACAGACAAATTTTTCAAATCAGGTTCTTCTCTGGGTTCATTTCCTTCTTTATCATTCTCATCTACAATGGCATTCTCTGTCTTAACCAAGTAATACTTTGTAAGAGGCTGAAGTATGTGTTCAATTACTGGTACACTCCATGACCGCCCTAGTAATGCTTGCCTTTCCTTTAACGATGTGTTTCCTACATCTGTATAATGGGAAGGAAACCCAAAGATCTGCAAAGAAAAACATATTCTTAATACATATAGCAATTTCTGATACATAGTTCTTCAGAATAATAATACACAGGTTAATATTGAAAGAGGTTTTAATCTATTACAGTCAATATTCTCATCTCACCTTCTCAATCTCAGTAAGCCATGGTGTATCCCCATGGTCATTCATACGGATAGGCCACTCTACATTAGATCCAAGTTTCAGAGAAGCTGGGTTAGTCGTTATGCAGTTGATTTTGTCCACAAGTGCTTCACGATTACCTATCTGTATAAATGTTCCTTACAGAAGCGTGTAAGAACTGATAGGATAACAATATATATTGATGAATCTTTATTTTCAAGACCAAAGATTAAAGAAACAGTGGTTATTGTACCTTATTAAGATACTCATGTAAATGGAATTTCTTCTTTAGGAGATGGGAAGGTATTGGGTTATACATACCTACAAAAGAGGAATATGACTAAAATGCACAGTATATTACTGTTGACTGTATATAGCATTCATATAGGCAAGTGTAGCTACAATAAGCTCAAAAGAAATATTACAACAATAAGTAAAATTCTATAGGCTTTATACTCTACCTGGTATATTCCCCCAAAAGCACCTAGGACGACATTGTGCTGAGAAGTGTTTGGCATCTATAACTGCTGGCTCTCTCTGTAAGAATCTGAAGAGTTGGGGGAAATTAAATTTTTGAGTAAGAAATAAATTTTTGAGTAAGAAAAAAATCTTTGGTTTACTACAAAGAATAAAAGTATTACAAAGAAAAAGTAAAAAGCAAGGGAGGCTAAGAAAAAAAAAAAAAGTTGCAGTAATGACAAACATGACATAAAAATGAAATGGTAAAAATATTTAATATATATATATTTTTTTAATATTGAATACATACAAGCTAATATGTTTCTTGAATTCTCGAGGCATGTTCAAAACATTTTCATACATCCAAAACAGGTGAGTGCCAGAGTTTTTCGCCTCTATGACCTTCTGTGCTCTAAAGAAATGAAAAAATAGAATTCCAGTACCAGAGGGATCTGTAAAATAATAAAAAGGATTGGTTCAGTGGTTCAACTGAATTACACTTCTTTAATTACAGAATTCTAGTCATGTTCTATGATTATAACAAGAGGTACAGAAATCTAAGTAGGATACATAACTACTGCAAAGTTAAACATCAGTGGTAAATATCAATATGATAAATCATTGTCTTAATTGTCTTCATACTAAGGTGAAAGTGTTCAGTATAAAAACCACAATTACCTGCAATTTATCAAAACCTTTTCTTTAAATGTGCCATCAATTTCTATAAGTTTCATCCTGATAACTAAAATAGAAATACTAACAAAATATATTTTCTTTCTTTCTGGTCAAGTAACAATTAAACATTCACATGCATATAATATTTGAGTCAACAATTATTTATTTAATGATAAAGGTTACCTTTCATACTTAAAAGTTGGAAAATATGCTTTTATATATAAGTATATGAATATGAGTGTGTGTGTGTGTGTGTGTGTGTGTGTGTGTGTGTGTGTGTGTGTGTGTGTGTGTGTGTGTGTGTGTGTGTGTGTGTGTGTGTGTGTGTGTGCGTGCGCGCGCGCGTGCGTGCGTGCGTGCGTGCGTGCGTGCGTGTGTGTGCGTGTGTGTGCATATATATGTACATGTGTATGTGTGTATGTGTATATATATAATTGTATACATATATATGTATATGTGTGTAGACATATAATCCTGTCTCATTCACACAAACTGAATTATAAAACTTACCAAAAAGACCTTTTCTATTAGGATTTACATAACTGAGATCATTACATGGTGACCCCCCTATCAATAAATCAATAGGGCAAAGTTCAGTAATCTGCGGAGGAAACATACTTTCATTAAATGAATAAGTGCGTGTAGGTAACATATAATCATTTTATACAGGTGCATGAGATAGGCAAGTATAATACTTCCTTAAATTACCTTGCTATATTACTAGATCACAAATCACGTTTTCTTGCCTGTTTGTCCGTAAAAGTGGTTACGTCCCCAATCCAGGTAATACGAGAGCCAAAATTGGTTTCCGATACATTCTGAGCTGCTTCGTCAATTTCTGACGCATAGTACACCTCAACTTCGATGCCTAGTTTATCCAAGACATGAAATCCTGTAGTAATGATAACAATTAATTGCATTCCTATTAGTTTTATACTTTCTTCCAGTGATACGTTAGTGACACAAGGCTCTATCTGCAGACGAAATGTATATTTTTTATAAGATTTGCGAGTTTTATTTTACACGGGAGGGCAGATCGCTGACTCCTAGCCCTCTTACAAAGTAGGTAAGTGAGCCTGGGACGACCTGTACCCTTCAAAAGATTTCTACTAAACAACGTTAGTAGAGCGAAGCGTCACCAACGCTCGTTATTTTCCTTACTCATTAGTTTAAGGCACGAAGGTCGCCGTTTTCTAAATTCATACCAACTACACGGGACTGATGACTTGCAAAAGCAACATTTGAACTATGTAAATAAGATTGGATCAAGTACTTTTTTTCGGTTTCTTTTATAAAATGGGTATAAATGGATGACTTTAGGATAGTCTTTTTACAGTAACCGTCGTTTCATGTTACTGATTTCATGTGTCATCGTATCAAACTCAACTTGCTTAGCAATGGAATATCAAGATTTGTACACGTTACGATGCCTAAGTAGTACCACATATCATATGAAATATCAATATACACTTGTTTCGTGTACTGCTATACACTAGTTGATAAAAGATCATAATGTCAAAAAGATCTACGGCATTTCTTTTATGAACAGTGTGTTTAATGGGATAACTAATGTAAATATTTTCTTGGCTAACTTTAGTATTTTCAACCTCAATAATAAATTGCGATATTAGTCTTAAACATATCCTTTTCTTTTCTATACGGTTTACCCTAATTTCAACCAAATCATTTAGGACTTTCAATTTATATTAAAGAAGGTAACATAAATTATGATGGTAAAAATCACACACACACACACACACACACACACACACACACACACACACACACACACACACACACACACACACACACACACACACACACACACACACACACACACATATCAATATTAAAACAAAAGATTGCCCAAACACACACCAATTATATGGCGACTGTTTCATTCTGTAGCATAGGATTGATTATTGATGTTTCTAGGCAAATTATATATTACTCTGACATGACTTTCCCAAAGAGTCAAGTGAATTAATGTCAATGCATCTTGACTTAATATCGTTCCATCATCCCACAAACTTACCTGTCCCAATTCCATCAAAGAGAGAAAGAACCCTTATAGGTCGCTTAGGGAAAGATATGTCTGGAGGAGCATCCTCAAATTCCTGAGGTTTTTGACAGTTTGGATCCATTTCCTGTCAGTTGTACAATCAAACAGTTATATGAAATAAATATAATAAAATTTCATACGTGAATAACATGAGTTTGTCATATAAAAATTCAATGGCCAACCCACATTCTGATTGTATCTAACCTTATTTTCCCAGTCAGGCCTAGGTTTGATAAGGCCATGTGTACTAGGGTCATATGGATCACATAGGAAGCAATGCCATGGATCTGTTTTTAAGATCCGGGCCACTGCATCTGGGTTAACTAAAAGCTCTACACAGCCTGTGCAGTATACTCTGTAATAGTAAAAAAATTAAAATATCAATATCTGTATTTGTATATATTACTAGTTATTTATTGCAATACTGATCTTTCAATATATAATGACAAGTTGATATTTACTTAAAAAAGATATACATACTTGTTACACATTGGATAGTCACACAGCATTATCTCCCCTGGACTTCCACACACTGCACAGTATGTCTGTATAGGACATAATAAAATAGAATGCTACTAAAATCAATAAACAAATTTTATATATATATATATATATATATATATATATATATATATATATATATATATATATATATATGTTATGTATATATATATATATATATATATATATATATTTAAATACATATATATATATAAATACATATATTCATTCATATTTGTACATATATACATACACATAAATATGTATTGTTTCACGACCAAGAATCACTCGCAATGAGATGAACTTATGGGCAGGGTCTTATTAGCAGTCCTGGATTATGCAAGTAACAGATGCCATGTCAGTCTCACAGTGTAGCCATGAGTTGGACACATGGTCTTGCCAACTGTACCCCATGATCAGGCTTAGGGACTTGTTACAAGAAACATTAAGATGAGACTCCATGGCACTTCCATACAGCAAAACTAGCAATATCAAAGCCTTGAAGACATGTAAGTTGTTCCCTCTGCATAGGTACTGACACCTCTAAATACTCTTGTTGGTCAAGTTCATGGCTCCAACTGCCAGACCAATCCGTCAACTTCAGCATCCTCACTAAAAGCATGTAACAACTGAATGGGTTCCCCTCAGAGGCCCCCAGAAACCTAAATCTTAGTCTTGGTTCAGGAGACCTCTAAGCACACGGGATTCACTTTACTGCTAAATACCAGTGATTCCAGAGGCTCATATATAATAGCAACATCGTCGGCAATGTCAAGATGTGTGACCTTGATATTACCCAGTGTTATCCAGTCCAAGCAGGTTTTGAAAAGTGTTGGTGCAAGGACACAGCCTTGCATTGCCCCCTGAATTAACTGGGAAGAAGTTTGACAGGCACCCACCACACTCTACAGCACTTTCCAAACCAGTATATAGGCTTGTTATATATTATATATATATATATATATATATATATATATATATATATATTATATATATATATATATATATATATATATATATATATATATATATATATATATATATATATATATATATA